TGACGACCAGCGAATCCCCGGTGTTGTATGTTTTTGTTGTTTTTTTGTTATTTTTCTCCTAAGCATCTTCTCTTTTACAGAGCGTCTTCCTTTCACCCCTACAACCAACCAACCTACACACCCCCTCACTCAAATCCCCCTCACACGCACCCACCCCCAGCCACCCACTTAACTAACCCCCCCTCTTTCCAGTCCTGGCTCACCACCCTACAAACCTCCCTCGCCACCCAGCGCACCACCCCCACCCACCCCTTCCACGCCGACCCCTACACCCTGCGCGCCATCACCGTCCAAGCCTTCGACCTCTTCGGCCCCTCCCGCCTCGGCTTCGTCAAGCTCACCTCGGCCATCACCAACGCCGCTGGCGAGGCCCTCCCCGGCGCTGTTTTCTTGCGGGGGCCGTCGGTGGCGATGTTGGTTATGCTGTTGCCGGATGATGAGCCTGACGCCTCCGAGGGGGGGGATGGGGATGGGGATGGGGATGGGGAGGAGGAGAGGTATGTGCTGCTGACGGTGCAGCCGCGGGTGGCGGCGGGGAGTTTGGAGTTTGTGGAGTTGCCAGCGGGCATGGTGGATGAGGGCGGGAGCTTTGCGGGGCAGGCGGCGAGGGAGATGGAGGAGGAGTTGGGGTTGGTAATTGGGGAGGGGGAACTAGTTGCGTTGAGTGAGTTGGTGGGGGAAGTTGGGCATGGAGCGAAGGCGTTGGCGGGGTTGCCCAGGGCCGTGTACCCCAGTGCGGGCGGGTGTGATGAGTATATTCTCATTTATATGCATGAGCGGCGTGTGCCGAGGGCGCAGTTGGGGGAGTGGACGGGCCAGTTGACGGGGTTGAGGGAGGAGGGGGAGAAGATTACGCTGAAGCTGGTGAGGATGAAAGATCTGTGGAAGGAGGGGGCGAGGGATGCTGAAGTGTCTCGCTGCCGTGGCGTTGTGGGAAGGGTTGAGGAGGGAGGGGAAGGTTTAGGGTAGGATATGGTATAGTATGGGTATGTATGCTCTATTCCCGGTCTTTTTTTCTATCCTAAACGCGCGCATCGACTCATCGCGAGGGAATTCCTCCTCAACCCGCCCCTAAAGCTTGAACTTCTTGGCCTATCTCTATGCCTTCGGCAAGGTTGGCTATCCGCGCGTCGATGGCATAGCCTTGTGCTTCGAGCTTGATGCACTCCTCCCACAAGTCAACCAGCTTCACGAGGAACACCTCGATGAACTCGTTTTCTTCGAGCTCGGGCTTCAGATCCTGGTTTGCGGGGAGGCTCATGTCGACCGTGACGTGAACCATGCGGAGGTTGGTGTTGCAGAAGCCGGGGTCTACGGGCGTTAGAAGAGGTATGAGGTGGTGCTGGGGGGTAACTCACCATTGAACATCACGGGCGATGTCTCGAGGGCCTCGGCAACATAGCCCGTCTCCTCCTTGAGTTCCCGAATGGCGGCCTGCTCCGCCGTTTCGCCTTCGTCAATTAGTCCGGCGGGCAGTTCGATGACGATCTTATCCAGCGGCGGGCGGTATTGCTTCTGGAGAACAATCTCGGGGCCTACGGTACATGGTTGGCTTCTGAAAGCGGGGGCTGGGAACTTGAGGCGTACATACCCGTCTCCTTCTCTAGGATGGCGACGATGCCTACGCCATCGATGTCGCTGCCCTTTGGCCGGGTGGTCCTCTCAGCCGACTCCCATGTTCGTGTTACGCCGTTGGGGTCCTTGTATGTCTTTCTGGAGGGTTGTCAGGTCCGGTTCTTGCTTTGGGTTGCCCTCTGGATAAGTCACTATGACTGAGCTTACTTTACAAGTTTTGTCCACACCGCCTCGCTCGCGGGCTGCATTCCACATAAAGGTTGGTTACCTATCTTCATGCCGAAGCCATGAAATACTTGGGGTTTGGCCTAGGGTATAACCTACAAGGGGCCCGGTGGATATGACTTTAGCTTCTCCAGACATGGTGGGTGTATACTGTATAGGGTGGGTAGTAGTCCGGTCGGGAATATCATGGATGGGTGGTGGGTGTAAGTCACTCTTGTAGCATTTTTATGAGGACCCGGAAAGAGGTCCCGTGTCTCGCCTCAGTGGACACGGCAGGGGCGGGACCCGCAGAGCCCGGCCTGAGCCGGCCACACGGTTCCCGTACCTTCCTCGAGCGGGTGGGCCCGGGCGGCCATCCAGTAAAACCATCCGATCGATGCGCCAGCTCACTCGCAGCCGTCTTTATCGATGAGCTGGCGGCCAGCCTGTTCATTCTCATGGCATTCTCAACAAAAATACTGGCTTTGGGGTTCACGATCCCATCCTGCCGGCCATCAACTATTGGCCCTCGGCCATCAGCCCACGCCGGTGATGTGCGAAGTGAACCGCCATTGATGATGGAATTTTGGATGCCTTCCCGGGAGTCGCGCAAAGGGTTCCGGGGGAGGGCGAGCAATCGGGGATTATCCCGTCGTCATCCCTCGGTAGCCCTCGCTTGCAACTGAGATGCCTTAGAATCCAATCCATCTCTGGAACCAAGGCATTGCAACAAAAAAAATTGTTGTAGCCAAAGCATTGCGTTACATTTTGGAATGGAGGGGTTGCCGCAACGCGCGTATGCCGCATTTCAGGACGAGGACGTGTCTTTCGACGTCACCACCCACAAACCGGGAGGAGGGGAGTACAGGTAGGGCTGGCGCAACCGTGCCACGGAAAAGCTTGTCGGGGTCGCATCCAGATTCGTGGGAAGAATCTTGAAACAGCACGAGGTGCGGAATTCCGACCTGCCTTTCTCGGTCGCTGATGTCTTCATTTGGGCTGACACCATCCTTTAGCGGCGCATTATTATTACCAAGCCGTCCCGGTCATTACGCGGACTTGGAATCCTACTTTTCAATTCATGATTTTCACATTCCTCCTCGTCATTTAATGCGTCGTTGACCCCGGTTGCATTTCTGTTCACTCCTTCTCTTGTTTGCATTTACTGTGCATTAGTTGCTTCACATTGCCTGCCCGTGATATCCATTCGGCGCCTGTAGGGAATCAGTTTGGGGATGTCCTGGTAATCCGAGCCCACCCCAACGACCAAAACCCGGACCCGGCCCCGCCATGACGAACAGGCTTCGCGCTCCCTCCGTCGACCGCATCGACACGGACACGGATCGGACGCCACTGTTGGCCGGGACACCCACCCCCACAGCCTCGAGCTCAACCCGCTCTCTATCCCCCGGGTACACCACCACCCAATCCACCACCCAAACCATCACCAACGACGACGACGATGACAATGACAACGCCACCGACCACCCCTCCCCCCCCAACCACCTCCGCGCCCTCCTCCGGCCCCGCGTGATCCTCCTCTCCATCGCCCTAGTCTTCCTCATCGAGCTGGCCATCGGCATGTCCGCCCCGTCCGCCAACGCCATCATGGAGAGCATCATCTGCCGCCAGAAGCACCCGGAGCTCTTCCCTCCCCGGAACGACAACTCCACCGGCGATGTGCCCATCCCGCCCACCATCCCCATCCCCATCCAACCCATCACCCCCCTCACCACACCACAGACGGGAAACCCCACCAAGACGCGACGCATCGCCGGCGGCCTGATCCTCGTCGACGACCCGGCCTGCAAGGGCGCCGACGTCCAGGGCTACCTGGCCATGCTGCGCGGCTGGGCCAACACGTTTGAGTCGTTTCCGGGCATTATTGGGGCGGTGCCCTACGGGATTTTGTCGGATCGGTGGGGGAGGAGGCCGGTGTTGGGGTTGGGGGTGGTGGGGTGTGTGGTTTCGGTGGGGTTTAACTATGGTGTTTGTGAGTTTTTTTTTTAGTTTTTTTTTTCTTTTGCTTGCTTGCTTGCTTGCTTGCTCTTGGGGTTTGGTAGGGTGTTTGTTTACGCGATTGTTTGGTTTGGGGGAGTTGTGGATTGTTCTGCTGACTAGGGGGTAGTTTACTTTTCGGACGTGGTGCCGTTGTGGGTGACGTGGTTTTCGGCCGCGTTTCAGCTGTGAGTTTGTCTCCTTTTATGAGAGTGAGATGAGCAGTTGGCTAACAGAACCCAGAATTGGTGGGGGCGTCGCCATCGTTGTAGCCATGCTGTACACCATGGTTGCCGACGTTGTCCCAGCGCATGAGCGCACGACCGTCTTCTTCCAGCTCAACGCTGTGTCCCTCGGCTCTCAGATGATTGCTGGGCCCCTCGGCGGCGCCATGCTGATCTGGGACGCGTGGGCCCCGTTGCTCGTCGCACTCGCCATCTGGGTCTTCACCAACCTGATGGTGCTGACCTTTCCGGAGACGGTCCGTGTCCATGACCGGAAGATGCCGCAGGGGGAAGATCGCGGGGGCCACAACGACCTTCCCCGAATGACCAAGCTCTGGCGGAAGGCGAGGGAGGGTACGGTTGAGGTGTGGGATTTCGTGCTCGGTAACAAGAGCGTGTCTTTTCTCATGGTGTCGCTCGTGTTTACCTTCCTGGGCCGCTACGTCGGAGATCTCCTGCTGCAGTACTCGACCGACCGTTACGGCTGGAGCTGGAGCCTCGCCTCCATGGTCCTAACGGTCCGCAACGCCGGAAGCCTGGTGACGTTGCTGGTGCTGCTGCCCGTGGCGAGCTGGTTTTGTGTTCGACGGCTGGGCATGGAGGACATGGCCAAGGACCTTCGGCTGGCGCGATGGTCAGGCCTCATTTTGGTTTTGGCTTGTCTGGTCATCGCTGCCGCTGTCAACGGTGGCATCTACTCGGTCGGGCTGGTCTTATTCGCCCTGGGTTCGGGTATGGCCTCCATGATCCGGTCGCTGCTCAACGCACTGGTCGAGGAGCACCATGTTGGCACTGTCAATTCCCTCATTGGTTTCATGGAAATGGTTGGCATGACCATCGCCGGCCCGTTGCTGGCAAAAAGTCTCAGTGTTGGGCTGGGCCTAGGAGGGGCCTGGGTCGGCCTTCCGTTTTTTGCTGCCGGGTGGTTGTTTGTCATCGGGACGACGATATTATACATTTTCAAGCTACCAAATGAACGGCACTCACCGGTTGAGCCTCCGTGTTGAAGTTCAGATGCTTGCCGGCCTGGGGCTTGGCAAATATGACAACGACGGTCATCAAAAGGGGTTGGGTTTGGGGCTGGGTTTTTAGAGGCTTTCGCTCCTCGAGTGTTTCGTTTGGTGTTGGGTTGGGCCGGGAGCTGATAGATCCCAGTCCCGATTCATATTGAACAGGTGGCGTTTGGATTGTGTATAACACAAAAATAAATAGACAAGATCATGTAGCGCATGGACGGCAGCATGAGGGTATCTATTGACTCCAGCTCTCATAAATATTTTGGTTTTGGTGCATACTTCCATCTCCTGCGCGCGAGGGCCGGCGAGCAAGGTTCGGCATGAGAAGACAGCTAGAATAATTCCTTAACCGCCGGGGCCACTGTGATATGGAAACCTCCGCATGAACTTCGCAGGCCACCCAAACAGAATTCCCAAGCCAGCAGACAAAGTCATCCAAGAATGTGTACTTGGTCCGATGTACGATGCATGACAAATGTGCTTCTTTTTCCCGTGAACCAACTTGCGAAGACGCCCCACGCGACAGCGCACCGCTCGCACGCGACATTCCTCGGCGCAGACTATCGATTTCCTCCATCATACCAGTCGCCGGAAAGCCCCATGTGGAATCTCGCTTGCTCGAGATGAGGCCGCGGTGGGAAAGGCACGTGTGTGCAACGTGCCCACCGGGTTTTAGGTTTCCTCCACGGGACGATCGACAGTGATCATTGCGATGGACCCGTTGTCTTGCTTTGATCTGCCCCGCTGGGACAAGATGAGGGGTGATTTAAGCAGTGACTTGAAGATGAGACGCGCTTCACGCGTCAGCAAGCGCCGAGGCACCATCTAAAAATTAAATCCTGGTGAGAACAAGCCCGACGTCATTGACGGGGAGCGGGAACTTGGGCGGCACAGCGGGTACGTACCGCTTGATGCCCCTGAACGGCAGCCGGCTGAACGGCCCATCCATGTGCTCGCAACCGCTACTCTTTCCTCTTTTGGGTTGTCTGCAAGCCGCCTTCATTATCGCCCAGAAATAATCTTGTGGCGCTTCGGTTCTGACCCTTTCTCGGATTTCGAATTTCGGAACTCCATTTCTGACGGCAAAAGGCGTGCACCGCTGGCCGAACAACTGGAACAAAAAGGAAAGCTGTTTCATGGGTTGGGGAAAGACCGACAGGGCAGTCGCAGCCCTGGATGCCCTTGTCACCCACAATGGCACTAGCGGGCAAGAGCGCGAATCATCTCCACAAGCGCGTGGTTCCAAATTCAGGGCTCGCCCGAAAAGGATACGGATTGCTCTTGCCATTTTGTCTCTTCAGGGTTCCTCCCCTCTCTGCTACAGGGCTCTTTTCTCCTTGTCTCTTTGCGCGGCGTGGAGTGTCATCGTTGCAACCCCCCGCTTGACCTTCGTCCGTTCTTACTGTCGACATACACCCACACTGCCGCTCGTTCCAGTGTAAATTCCCCTGTCGATCGTTTTTTTTTTTTTTTTCATTCTTCTTTCCCTTCCAATTGTCGAATATTCGAAGACTTCACCGCCAAACTTCGATATCAAAGCGCGTGCTAAAGAAACCCCACATCGGACGAACCCCTTTTTAAAACTCGGCACCAAGGACCGAGTGCCTCCGATTCAGCTCTTGTCGACAACGCCCCCTGCTTGTCTCGGGGTCGGCGGAAGCTTTGGACTTCGAGAAAGTCTGAGATGGCCTACTTCCCTTGCTTTCGTTGAAAAAGTTTTGTTGTACACCACCCAAAGCTCACGTTATTGTTGTGGAGTGGGTTGGTGGCCAAAGTTTCAAGTAATGTCGGTACCCCATATTCCATATCCTGGCGCACCTAACCATGCGCTGACTGTGGTGTAGTTAATGTGTTAGTTAGTTCAAACAACAGTCACTCGTTACAATGGTGTCGTTCTTTGGGCTCAGTCTTGGGAGCAAAAAGAAGTGAGTGGTCGTCCGGCGATTTTACCAAAGGGGACGCCCTTGCGAACCGCTGATGCCACAGGAAGCCCGATGAGAAACCCGCCCAAGAGAAGCCGCAACAATGGAAGCGCGTAGAT